CTAACTCTTAAAAGAAAATATAGTGGGGAAGTTTCCTAACATTGGTCTTGGCAGTGATTTCCTGAATGTAACACTAAAAGCACAGACAACAAAAATAGACAAATAGGACTACATCAAACTACAAAGCTTCTGGGCAGCAAAGGAAACAACAGACTGAAAAGGCAAACTTTGGAATAGGAGAAAGCGTTTGCAAACTATTTATCTGATAAAGCATTAATATCCATAACATACTAGGAAATTCTATAGTTCAATAACAAACAACAACAACCAAAAAACCAATTTTAAAATGGGCAAAGGACCTGAATAGACATTTTTGCAAAGAAGATATATAAATGGCCAACAGGTGTATGAAAAGGTGCTTGATATAACTATTAGGGAAATGCAAATCAAAACTACAGTGAGATGTCACCTCACATCTGTTAGGATGGCCACTTTAAAAAAAAGTGTCAGCAAGGGTGTGGAGAAATTGAAACCATTACACGTTGGTGGGAATGTAAAATGGTACAGCTACTATGGAAAATAGTATGGAGTGTCCTTTAAAAATCACAAATAAAACTACTGTACAATCTAGCAGTCCCACTTCTGGATTTTTATCTGAAAGAATTGAAAGCAGAATCCTGAAAAGATATTTGCACTGCTGTGTTCATTGCAGTATTATTTACAATAGCCGAGATATGAAAACAGCCTAAATAGCCATCGATGGATAAAGAAAATACAGTCTAAAAAAGACAAATACTGTATAATTCCTAACAGAGGTGCCTCGTTAGTGCAGTAGGTAGCGCGTCAGTCTCATATCATAATTCCTAACAGGATGCACCCAAAGTAGTCAAACTCGCAGAAGAAGAAAGTAGAATTACGGGGCTAGGGGAGGGGAAAATAGGGAATTGCTGTGCCGTGGGTATAGAATTTGAGTCATATGAGATGCAGGAGTTGCAGAGATCTGCTGTACGACAGTGCACTTCTAGTTCACAATAGCGAGCTGTACACTTAAAGTGGGTTAATAGGGAAGATTTCATAGTATGTGTTTTTTACCACAGTAAGAGAGAGCGAGCATGTGATTCACTGTTTCTTTTCTTTCTGCCAAGATGGACATGTAGAAATAAGCTTGTTTTGAGCTCTTGAAGTTTGAGTCTTTTCCAGCAGCATAACCTAGCACATTCTGACCGGTACAGATCATGAGAAACAAAAACTGACAGTGGGGGTGGAGGAGAGCAGCAGATTAGAAAGAGATTAGGGAGAGAAGGTTAGAAAGAGAGATTTTGACTCTGGGGTTGAGGAGAAGCCCAGATAACTCACTTTTCTGATTTTGGCCGCTAAGTGGGTGTTGATGCTATACACACAAAATTGGAAATAGAATTGAAAGAGGTTCCAGGAGAGAAGGTCTGCTCTGTTCTGGACATGTTGAGTTTTGAGGGTGAGCATACTTTTGCCCAGTGCCTGGCACGTATTAGGTGCTCATTAATTATTTGGGACATGACTAGGGTCAGGAACACAGGGAGAGTAGATCTAGGCTGCAGGAAGAGCCTAGAGAGTCACGAGTAAGAAGCATTGAAAGGAGGAGGTCCTGGGGGGCAGGCAGAGGACTTACACAGGGAGCTCAGGAGGGCTGGGGTGGGGCCTTCAGGAGGTAGATCACAGGAGTCAGAGAACACTGGCATCTAAGGATGCTGGTAGCATTTGCATTAGAATCTCATCACATTTTTAGGTGAGTTTAGGGAAAGTATTATGTTAAAAATGTTGAGTCCTGCTATCAGAGTTCAAAATATGCCTTTCTAGTTATTCAAATCTTTTACGTCCCTCCGTAGTGCTTTAGAGTGAAAAGAATGCATAATAAAGTGTTACTGATAACAGTGTGCTTCAGAACTTGACCCTCACCTGCGGATAACATTCACATTCTAGACTTGGTTTCCACCATTAGGGTAAAGTCTGCAAATGTTTGGCCCACTGTGGGAAATAAAGGGAAAACTGTCTCATAGATACCTGAGCCAGTGACAGCCAGTTACAG